ATTATATTGCCGCTGCTACTGCCACTGCTGATACTGTATTATTTTTATGCATACCTCTAAAATAGTGAAGGTCCTGATCCGGATAAACGTGAATAAAGTCGAACACGCTGCATATGCCACTGATGGGGTACGTCAGACTCACAGCGGAGGCTATGCAGACGATGGATCGAACCAACGCGACTGCTATGGCTACTTCGGATGAAACCGCCATGTCACTATCCCAAATTGTTATCTCGACACATTTGGCCTGCAATTTTTTTCTGTAATGCCTGTGTACAGTCAAGCAAAAGGCAAGAAAATCAACATCGAGTACCACAAACAACGATACAATAACTACGATAGTGCTGGCAGTATCAAATGAAGAGAATAGCACTAACGTACACAGAAACAGGGAGACTGCATCATGGGCAAGTCGTAAAGAAACAATAGTAGTAGTCTGACTTGCATTGAACCCTATCCATACGAATGAACATTAAGTGAGCTTCCTGTTTTATATAGCCAGAGTTAAGCTCAGCATACAACAATAGCACAACACCGACCAGCTACCTATGCTTGTTTAGAACAATGTCAGAATATTGCCATAATACTATTATACTTGATCTTATCACACGTCAATGAAAATATATCTGTGAAAATTTCGTCTAGTTCTACAGGAAAAGGCGATAAACGTAGCCGACAACTATGTAAATATATAGTAAATTTGGTGTTACTGTCGAGGATCTGTACCTATTTGTCGACTCCTAATTCAATTTGCGTTTTTCGATTTAACGAAACGTGTTTATGTATGTATCTATATATGTGTAATATTTTTTCTAAATAAACAATGGTTATTGTATACTTAATCGTAACTGTAATACGCGGCGGCAAGAATAGCGAAAAAAAAAACAACTCTTGGACATGAGCTACAGTTCTTAAAGTAAATATTGAAAGACTGTCATAAAATTAGTGCAGGAATGTAGAAGCGTGTTTACCAATGTATTTCATATAACAAAAAGGAAATTCGTTCAATACAGGGTGTGCTTCATACTTTGTTGGAAAACATGGCCTTTGTACGGTTACGGTAGATTTTACGTTTTACGTCTGGGTTTATCTCCAAACATTTAGGATCAAACAGGAATCGGAGAAATACATAGCTGCCTAGTCTCGAGGTTTAATGGTCAAGTCGCTTTCACAATTTTGATCGAGCTTAGGCTTTGTCGCTGGCGTTAAACTCTGAAAAACTAGATAGTTAGTTGGAAATTGATGATTCATTTACCTCTTACTTCTAAACATTAACAGTGTTCAAACTCTTAGTAATTCGCCATTTTTCTTCTTGATTGTAACGCCAGCTAAAAACACCTGGTTTTGTACAGCTGTTCAAATTACTGTCCACTTAGTAAGAGATAAGACAAGGTTGGAAGGGCAGAGACAATGGCATTATGAAACCACTTATCAGCTCTGATGGCTTGAAATATATAGTCGTTTATTTAGATTGTTAAAGATCGCTGTGAAGCCAGAGGTGCTATGCAGGGGAGACTCAAACAATTCATCACTTCGGCCCGTAGTTTACCGCCGAACAGATCTTGAACAATATTATCGAAGGACACGCTGGATTCTGCGCAGCGGTCCACTAACATGTTTACGTCTTACGACCGTTTAGCGGCGACCACTTGTAATAAACATGCTCAATCGTTTGTCACGCTACGCGAAATTGTCCTGTCTAGCGTTTTACGGCATTCGGGCTTCTAATATTGGATGCCATTATAAAGGCTACAGCCCTGGCGAGCTATCGATTAGAGAAAGAGGTGCGTCATGGTCTTCTGACGGCAACAATAGATACTCTAAGCCTCAAGCATGCTGATCTACAATAGCCTACTCTACCGCGAGCCACAACTTTCTTCTACTTGCGGTCGCCATAAAAAAATCTTTTCATGAATATAATTCATTTAGCATGTTTGTGATGTATATATAATATAACATCATAGGCCTGAAACGCCCTCTGCTGTAGTATAGGTACTCGATAAATATTTACAATGACGATATAGAAAATAATAGTAGATAGCGGTGAAACTGGCGCCTGGTACGATCGCTGTTGCAGAGTCAGACTTACAAGCGGTGAAATACAATATATGTCAACTTAAAATCACCTTTATTTGAACACCATGAAACAGGTCACGTAAGAACTAGAGAAATATTTTTGTGCCAACTAAGTAAATAAATATTATGCTTGCTGGACCAAGTGTATCAGATACATTAATACAATAATAATGATAGAAATAATATTTTTGACTTACAAGATTAATATTTCATATATTCACTATTATATTTATTTGTTCCTCATATATCATAATCAATTTGAGAGCTATTTTACAGATTATAATTATATATAATCATACCTGATTTCGATCCCTCTTGGCGTGTTTTTTATTTTTTAGCGGTCCGTATAATTTTTGTTTGTTTGTTTTCTTTTTTGCCATCTTTGTGATTGGACATGTATTTGTAGAAAAATTGGATTACTTTGGGTAAAATGGTAGTCAATATAAATGACGATTGTTTTATTGCATCACTATTTGTATCATTACTAGGCTTGAACGAAATGTCATAGCCATGCCTACGTTTAGTCACCATACATAATATTCTATTGTACATTCAGGGTTTCTCCTAAGGGTTCCAGCTCTGACCAAAATCCTCTTCACTGTGTTCCTCTTTCAGGTTTATTAATTGCACTCGCCAAATGCTGCAACCCCTATTAAAGTATCAAACTCATGCTGAGCGTGAGTTTTTAGTGCTTCCTTTAAACCAGATAGCTCTGTAAATATTACTTACTAGCACTATTTTGTTTCGTGTACATATGTTTTGAACGAGCACTACTCGGGTGCTAAAGGCCGAAAAACGAAAGTGTTCAATTTCTTATGATCTATGAAATACCTACACTTAACAGAGATGGCACCTCCGTGCTCTGAAATATGTTAAGCTAGAAAACAGCTCAGGCTGAACAGCTAAGCTAGCGAATCCGCTAAAAAAATCCAGCCGATATGCACTGACTTCTTTGTATATTGTCAGCGAACATCAATGAAATATAAACAAATATTCTAGGTTTTTACATCGTAAAAAAAATTTGCCACACTACGCTGGCGAGGGCAGAAATTTTAATGCCACCGAAGGTAGTATCGTCAATGTTCATCAATTTATTTCTGCAAAAGTATAGTTTCAAAGTATAAGTGATCCGAAAATGGTTATGCTATTATACAGGAAATAAAAGTAAAACATGCTTCGAGGTCATTACACAACTTTTAAATTAATAGTACATCAATTGTCTTTATTTGCTTTGCATCTCGTACATACATCGATGCGATTAACTTTCAAAGGAATGCCCTTTTCTTTGTCTGTGGAACGAACGGACTCCGTGAGACGTTATAAAACATGTATACAATCTGATTCTTCGACATGTTTCGTATATATATATCGCTTACTGCAGTACTTATCTTTATATCATACTACATTCTCTCTCCCGCCGTTATTTTCCGATTTAAGCACCTCTTTCTCTACTCGCTATTCAACCTTCTGTCCGCGAGCATAAAAACACAGCTACACAAAACTCAGCATTCCACTGTGCTTTTTTGTGCACCATATGTATAATGTACACTAACATTGGCTGGCATCTTTATATATAGATACTTCCATGTCAAACAAACAGCTAAATGGTGTTAACGTGTCTTGAATATGTTTAGATTTTTGGGGCAGCGATACATGTACTATTATGCCAAAATATGTTATATTCATAGTGATAACGAGTCATCTCTTCGAACAAAGCAGCATCAGAACAAACGGGTAATACCCATTGGAACAATTGAATTCGCTTTTTGATTAATGCGGCAGCCTTTCTGTAATCTCTGTTTTCAACCATCTTCCTTGATGTTCTTCTAAAGTGTCATTTTTGGGCTCCAGATCTTCGTCTGTTGCGATTAATCACCCAATTAATCTATCCGCAAGAGGGACTTCGTATTTTTAAGATGCCCACAAATATCCAACGCATCTTTCTGCTTAAACTAATGCAACGTTCAATGCATAGTAGGCACTCCAAACTAACATTTATAGTAAGAAAGGCGATACATGGTTAATTCTGATTGTACGGATAGTAATGTATGCTACGTTACAAACAACAATCTCACACGTCTGCATATATACAATCGATGCTCAATACAAGAGACTCGAATAAATTCAATCTAATCGTTTGAACTTTCAAACCCAATTGCGAAACTCTAGAGCGAGATAAACGGTTTTACCTTATGAAACCATTATTCTACTTTACACGTCTACCCGCAAACATTTTCAAACAGCCGACAAAGCAACTGATATGTAAAAATAATATAATAATATGCAATCGCAGGCGCGATCGCTTGCTGTAACCAAATTTCAGCAAGTCTAGTAGTGATATTTCGCGCTAGTATATCGTACGATGTACAGCGGTCGCGTTCTATTTCACAATTTAGTACGCCTGTCTGGGGGCGTTCGAATCAGTTTGACCGGTGTGAATGTCTGTCAGGACAGTAAATAATAAATGTTCCAGATCTTTCTAAAAGAATTATTAACGTGCGGCAACGCTTTTAGCTTAAGCAGGGAAGAACTGCATCAGAAGTGTGCTTCAAATAATGGCGGCAATTATCGCTGCAAAATGTGCTATCGCAAAATGCTAATGCTCGCAACTATATCACATCGTTTGTGAGCGGTTTTAATTTCTTCCCGATCTCTTGGTCGATTTGTGACATGCCAATGTAACATAGAATGATGCCGCTTTCGTAAGTCCATAACCGTTTGAAAATAACTCGCCTTAATGCTTCGCAATTGGCTTTGATAGCTAAGGCTATTTAATCGAGTTTATCTGAGTCGCTTTGATTGAGCACCGACTATATAT